GCTAGTCATCACCACCCACCGCCAACTCTTGGGCTACTCTTTTACCAACGAATAGTGGGATTGACCGTCACATTATAACGCCCCCACGGCTGAAAGGGCGAGCATGTTTGGTGGGACGGGGATTCGAACCCACGACCCTCAGATTGCGAGTCGAGCGCCTTAACCACCTGGCCATGCGTTGTAAGTTCGTAGGCATAACGCTATGCCGAATGAATTAGTGGATGGTCGTTATACTATTCTTTGGTTATCGTTATTAACATCCTAAACCTAAGAACAGTACAAAGCATTGTTTATTAAATACTCTGCAAATTACTACTTCGTTTATTTACTTTCATGTATAACTTAATTCTATCTTTTTAAATTGCTCTTATACTCTTTTTTTCATGCTGATTTTGGTGATTTTTCAGAATATTTAAATCACTAGGGGAGAAAAACTGATGTGTTTTTAAAAGAACTTCGCAAAATAATCCTGATTTCCTACGAATAATTAAAGTATTTCACTGCGTCTCAAAATGAGTCTCAACATATTCAGAGACACTTAAGGTAGCTCAATACTTCTAAGGACACCCACGTGGTTCTTTTGTAAACGCTGTAAAGAAATATGAGCTCTCATGTTAATTCGTGTTTTCTAGGAATAACGTCACACTTGAATTAACAACGTTTTTGTGTCGTGTAAAAATATCCCCGAAGAACATCGAAATACATAGTGACATCCTTATTATAAGAGATTTGATCAAATTAATATACGCTAAGTTAACGAGTCTACCCCTCCTGCCCCCACCCACTCTCTATGTAGCTTTTCAGTGATGATTTTGAACATGTGGCCCTTATAGCGCTTAACAACAAACGGAAACACAGTCTAGGATTAAAGATAAACTTAAGGCAGCGACGAAAGACTATAATTCCTATGTGATCAACTATTAATATTAATATCGTATTTTATGTAAAATATTTTTTCTTTCACATGGTTCAGTCTTGTAGTGCTTGCAATCATATAAGTCTGAAGTTTAATGCAGTTAAAAATAGTAAATACATAAGTATTTGTGTAGTTGTTTTGTTTATTTGAAACTGATACATTTTGCTTGAATGTAAAATAATAATAATAATGAAGAAAAGAACCAAATGATGAAAGCTCATGGAGGATATTGGATATCCCTAACGTCTTTACGAAGAAAAGAACCAGATGATGAAAGCTTATGAAGGATTTTGGATATCCCTAACTACTTTACGAAAAAATAGAACCAGATGATGAAAGCTTATGAAGGATGTTAGATATCCCTAACTACTTTACGAAAAAATAGAACCAGATGATGAAAGCTTATGAAAGATTTTGGATATCCCTAACGTCTTTACGAAACAAAGAACCAGATGATGAAAGCTTATGAAGGATTTTGGATATCCCTAACTACTTTACGAAAAAAAGAACGAGATGATGAAAGTTTATGGAGGATGGTGGATATCCCTAACTACTTTACGAAAAAATAGAACCAGATGATGAAAGCTTATGAAAGATTTTGGATATCCCTAACGTCTTTACGAAACAAAGAACCAGATGATGAAAGCTTATGAAGGATTTTGGATATCCCTAACTACTTTACGAAAAAAAAAAAGAACCAGATGATGAAAGTTTATGAAGGATTTTGGATATCCCTAACTTCTTTACGAAAAAAAAAGAACCAGATGATGAAAGTTTATGAAGGATTTTGGATATCCCTAACTT